CTGATAGTTGCGCATTTTTCAGTCTTCCTCCTACACGTAACACTTTGTTGTCATCTAAAATTGGACACAAGCTAAGGAGGTTGCTGTTTGTAGGTAAGTCCTTTCCCAACTCCAAACATTGAATTTCTTTAAAAAAGTGAAATCGCTGTATTATTCGGACAATACAGAAAGTTGCAGCTCGAATTTCATTACTAGATAAAAAAAAGACGTATTTCTTTCTAGATATGCTACTTTAGAATTCGATATGAATCTTAATATCCAAGCAAATATGCGTTGTAACTTTGGAAATGAAGATATATTTGATATAATAGCAAGTTCCTGTACAGGTTCAGAAACTACAAATGAGACTGTTTTACGTGCATCTGGTAATGCCTCTTCATCTATAAGAATATTTTTAGACAAGGCAATCTCACTGCACTTTAACCAAGAAGGACCATTCCACCACAATTGATGAGATAATAGTTCTGCAGGAAATAACCCACGTGAAGCACAATCAGCTGGATTTTCCTTTCCATCAACATGACTCCAGTTCTCAGGTGGTAAGATGGATTGTATTTCAGAAACTCTATTGGATACGAATACTTGCCATTTTTTAGGATCTGACCTTAGCCATGACAACACGATTTGTGAATCACTCCAAGCTTGCACTAAATCAAAATTTATAACTAATGCAGCTTTTACAGACTGAATCAAGCGTGCCAATAACACTGCTGCACATAATTCCAGTCTTGGAATCGTAATAGATTTTAATGGTGCTACACGAGTTTTAGCTGTTACGAGTTTAACATTAATGTCAGAGTTATTGCAAGTTTTGATATAAATAACTGCTGCATAACCTCTTTCAGACGCAAGTTCAAAATCCGTGAAAATTCAATCAGGTAGCAGAATTTTCCTAGGTATATTTATAGAATTCAAAAGTTTAACTTCTCTACATAGATTTCTCCAATTTCGATCAATCTCTTCTGTTACAGGATCATCCCATGATAATTGTAATTTCCACAATTGCTGAAGGATCATTTTAGCGAGAATTACAAACGGAGCTATCCACCCCAATGGATCGAATAGTTTTGCTACGAATGACAAAATAATTCTTTTAGTCGGAACACTTTGATACTCTATTACACCGACATTACATTTGAATTCATCATTGTCCGGATGCCATTCCAATCCCAGAACTTTCAATGTTTTGTCTTCTATTACACGATGAATATTGTCACTATCTGTGTTTGTTAAGCCAGAGGTTTTTAACAATGACGGTTCACTTGTCGACCATTTGTGAAGCTCAAAGCCACCACTTTTTAGCAGATTGTTGCAATTCGTCTATCAATGCAATACCTTCCGAACTATCTTTTACACCAGTTAACATATCATCAACATAAAAAATCTCTTAAAACTATATTCTTTGCCTTTGGAAAGTTCAATCCTTCATCAATCGCTAACTGACTCAAAACTTTGGTTGCAAGATATGGAGAGCAGCTGCAGTTCCATATGTAACTGTTTTCAAACGACAAACTTGTATTTGTTTATACGGGCTATCTCTCCATAATATTCTCTGAAAATCTCTATCTTTTTCATGAACCTTTATCTCTCTGTACATCATTTTAATATCAGCGGTTATTGCAATGTTATGAAGTCTAAATCTTAGTAAAATACAAATTAAGTCATCTTGTATTTTTGGGCCTATCATTAACGTATCATTTAAAGAAACGTATCATTTAAAGAAACACCTGTGGTTGTTTTAGCGCTCGCATCGAAAACAACTCTCAATTTTGTTGTTAAGCTATAGTCCTTCAACACGAAGTGATGTGGGATATAATAGTGTTTATTCTCTAATTCATAATCTGTGTCTGGCACTAATTCTACGTGTTCTAGTGAAAAGTACTCTTTCATAAACTGAATATACTGGTTGTAAATTTCTTTCATAGATAACAGTCTCTTCTCCAAGTATTGAAATCTTCTGTACGCCATTTCACGGGAGTCACCTAGAATATATCTCTATTATGTTTGAATGGTAATGCAACTGAATAACGACCTGATGTGTGTCTCTAAAATGCGAGTTTTTAAAATGTTCTTCACAAAGTTTTTCTTCATTTGTTAAAGGTTGTACATTTGGAAACTTTTCTAACTCCCAGAAAGAATTTACTAACTCATCTGTGTTTGTATTCAAATGATTTACATATACTGGCTCAAAATTTGTAGATTCAAAATTTGTAGTACCCGAAATTATCCATCCCAACCTCGAATTTAGAGCAAATGGTAGATCAGGACCACGTTTGACAATTTCTCCCGTCATTAAATGCAGAAATACATTTACTCCAAATAAAATGTCAACTGGTTGTGACTTGTAAAATAATGGATCAGCTAATTGTAAATCACTGAAGTTATCGAAGATGATTGATGGCAAAGATACATAGGGAATGTTATCTGTCACCTTGTCCAGTACAAACGCTGATGTTGATACACGAATATCACTTTTAAAATGAGAAGTGAATACTAAATCGACTTCCCCATTACTTATAGTATTAAATTCTCCTAGACATGATACAGAAATGGAATTATCTTTCACTCGTAATCCTAATTTCTTCACACAATCCCTTGAAATAAATGATCTCTGAGATCCAGTGTCACATAAACATCTACACTTCACAAATTGTTGCTTCAGAATTTTGAACTTTTATTAAAGCAGTACACAATAAAATGTGACTGGTTTGATTACCTTTTGCATTCGAATCATAATGAGAGGCACAAACTGTGGCTGAAACGTCCTTAGGACTCGTTAATTCATCTCTTTTAGGGATAGATTGCGTAGGCGGAGATATACTGTTTAACTGAGTTTTATTCTTTGAATTATTTACAATGTGCAAAATACTGTGATGCTTCTTAAAGCAATGTTGACATGTATTTAAACTCTTGCATTTTTTGAGCAAGTGCATATTAGATAAACAATTAAAACAGTAACGATTAGATTTTACAAAATTCTATCCTTTGCTGAACCGATAAATTTAGAAATTTCGAACATTTGGCTAAACTATGATCTTCTTTACAATAACCACAACCCAAAGTAGCAACCAGAACATTATTCTTATTTTGAAACACAGATTTAGGTACCTTATTACTTGTTGATTTGCTATTTTGAAGTGTTCTTGCATAGTTTTTTTTAGGAATTCAATTAAAGTCGTAAGTTTTGGAATCTTCATTAGATTTTAACTGACGTTCCCACCATAATTTTGTAGAAGGGTCTAATTTTTGCAAAATTAAATAAGTCATTAAAGTGTCACCAAAATTATCAATGGTTTGATTCAATACTTCTAAAGAACGAATTACTTCATTAATATTGTCAACTAAATTTAAAATAGCAAATGCTGATTCATTTTGAATAGTTGGTAAGCTTAGAAAAAACGTTTAATATATGCAAAAATTTGTTCTCTCTTATTTGAATATCTTTCGTCTAACAGATTCCATGCTATTTCAAAATTACAATCCGAAATTTGAATGGTTTGAATAATGCGATATGCTTCACCTTTCAACGAAGCCTTCAAATACTGCAATTTTTGAGCATTAGATAAATTTGTATTATTTCTTACACAAGCACTGAAAAGATCTTTAAAAGCTATCCATTCTGTAATATTACCACCAAAAGTCGGTCGGTAATGTTAACTTGGGTAATTTAATATTGTCAAGAACCTGTTCTGAAATTACACTATTAGAATTATTTTTACTTATTTTGATTTTTTAATATTTTTTCACCTTTAAATTTCCACAAATCAATTTTATCTGTGTACTCCTGAACATTATCTATTTCGTTTTCTAATTCTTTAGTATCTGTAATTAAACTTTCGATTTCAGAATCAAGCTTCCTTAACTCAGTTTCTTTTTTTTTTTTTTTTTTTTTTGTCAATAATTCGACACATTCCTCTAGTTCTATTAAATTAATTTCATCTACAGTTAAAATAGTTTCAATTTTCTTTACATAATTAGTAACACTCCTGCGTAAGACCGCTCTTTTTGTTTTAAAAGTTATAAGTTCACTCATAATTGATCAATTCAAAAACAGAAATTGTTCTTAAATCACTTAACACTATTATTAAAATGAAATCGAATTCTATGCTTGTATTACAACATTGTTCTTAAAATTTAACAACAAAACAAATAAACGAATTTTTGTTCAAAATCCACTTACCTCACAAAGTGGAGTAATTTTTCACCAACCATATGCATATTTGCGTTGTTAGAATACACTTAGAACAGTCACTATCTTCACTAGCTCTCCGGCTAGACTTTTGACCAACAATAAATGTTCTTTAACTTAATATGTTTCACAAACAATAATCAATCAACAAATGGACTGTATTCATTCAGTTTTATTTCATTACACTAATTATAAATAAAATGTCAGCGATGCGAAATAATTGATACAAAATAAGCGAGCCATTCTACATGGCTGTCACAAACACAATTCTATCAATCAATTATCTTGTTGCCACTAAAGGTTCAAAACTAAAGGAACAAAAACAAAGGAAATTTATGCTGTTTGCAACAATAAAATGAAGCAAACGATACTCACATAAACAGATATATTAAAAAGACTTTTCTTTCTCTTCTTTCTCTGACAAGTGCCAAATTCAAAGTTTTGTACTTAGTCCGTCCATTGCGTTACTTTTTTTAATGTTCAGTATTGTAATTGCTATAAAAGTGCCAAAGTTTAAACATTCTTTTGTAATAAAAGAGCAGCATTAGTTTTGATCTGATGCACAAGCTATATTCCCCTTCATTAAATGATTTTCATCCTTCTTATTCACAACTGTTCTATTTTTCTTTTTACATCCTGCCCAATATTTTCAGATTTATCCAGAATCATTTCAATATTTATCCAGAATTGATATATTCCTGTTAACTATCATATGCAGAAACTAAAAACATTCACTATGTCTTAAGTTCTTCAGTCTATCCTTGGACAAACAGTAACAACTCATGACGATTAAACTTATCTCGAAATGCCGAGACTTATAACTCGTTCATGACATTTCAACTGGGTATAACCATTTGCACAGCAGAGAAAGCAGCCAGAAGCTTTGATTAAAAACTTATTTTATATTTACCTCTTTCAGCTTGTAAAATTGCTGAAATGCATCGTCTTATGTCATTCGTAATTCATCATAATTCTGGAGAGTTTTCTGTTTATAGAAAGTTTTAAGAATCCCCCAGCATGTTTATAGTTCTTCAGTTATGTTTACAGTGTTCTTCATGAATCATTTTTCATTTTGTTCACAGATTTTAAATTATTCACGTATTTATGGTGCTGGAAAAGCACATGCTCAAAGGTTGTTAATGCAGTTTAATCATCGCTTGACTTTAGATGAAGCCAAACAGAAAGTTAAGAAAATGTATTCTGAAACTAAAGGCATCCAAAAGTAAATCTGAGTTTTGAAATTTATTTTAAATTCTAAATGATTATTAAAACTTTGTATGCATTTTCTCATGTCTTATTATATTTATTACAACAATTTTTTTCCTGTGCAGAACTGTTGTGGGTGAGGATGAAATAAGTGATGATGGTTATATTTTTACTCCTGGTCCTCAAAGGCGCATATGGGTAGGAGGCAGGTAAGCATATTTTTCTTATTTTATATCACTTAGGAGAAAATCAGTATCTTTTGATTGATTGAAATTTAAAATAATTAATATTTCTTTTTCAACAGTGAATCCCACATGTTTAATAAACTTGAAGAAATTGCTCTTTCTCAAAAGCCTAGTACACCAGCATTGAATTGCAGAATAAGTCGCGCTTTAGAACCAAAAGCTGTTGACAAAAATGTGAGCTATTTGTATCTTACATAACTTCAAATTGTGAAAAAAAAATTTTGAAATAGATTTTTTGGAAGTGTTAATAAAATTTTGTAATTTTTTTTTAATTTCATGTATAATGTAATAAAGAAATTTTTCAAATAATAAATTTTATAAATGAATAAACAACATTTATAATGTTGTTTATTCATTTGTAAATATAATTTTACAAAGTATAATTTTACTAAGTATAATTTTAATTATTATTTAAACATCTATTTCAGTTCATGCCTAGTCGCATTAACTGGGTGGTGCAAAGTTCTGCAGTGGATTTCTTGCATTTGATGTTAGTTTGCATGAAATGGCTTTTCACAGAATTTAATATCAGTGGCCGTTTTTCTATATGTATACACGATGAAGTTCGCTACCTTGTAAAGAGTGAAGACAGATACAGAGCAGCATTAGCACTTCAGATTACGAATCTTTTAACTCGATCTTTCTTTACTTCAAGATTAGGAATGTATGACTTACCACAGGTAAATCAACACTGTATTACTAGTATTCTTTTCCTAGTAAAAAGTTGCATAAAACATAGTATTATATATAATATGAATGGACTTATGTGGTACAGTGTACACTTTGTTACCTATATTCTTTGTTTACCATTTAATAAAAGACACAATTTTATTTCTTTTATTTTTAAATAGTAAATTATTAAAAATTCTGGTATAGTTATTACAAAGTATTCAAAAGTTCTGAAATTAAATATTTATTAGAAAGGGAAATTTTAACTTTGAATTTTAAAATGTGAAAGTAGGCTTTTGAGTATTTGTCAGAGTAATAAGACAGTGTAAAAATATCCTAATTAATCTATTCAAATAATTTAACAAGACTTCCACAAATTAAATATTTTAAGTGTTTTATGCATCTGATAATATATGAAAATAATTTTAGCAAATTTAAAAAGTACTGTTGTTGAAGCCTCATATTCTGTGCTGGTTGTATGAATCATATTAGACTTAACAAGCATCATAATATTTTATTAAATATAAACATTACTCGGTGTCATATTCAGAAGTGAGTTTATATTGTTGTGGGTTATGAATTCATTGATATCTCTCTAAATGGTCTTTCCAGGTAAACAAGAAGAAAGTTATAGTTTATTATAAAAATTAACTCTACTTAGCACAATAAATAACAGCAAAGCACTTGGAGAGAATGCAGATATTAAGAATTTCCTTCTTAGTGCATAAAAAGTATTGTCGTTATTACAAAATCTCACACCTGAATAACAGCTAATTTGTTTAAGTTCTTAGAACCGTATTTATGTAGTGTAGTACGAGTACTGGCCTGGTGTAGCATGAATTTCTGGAAGCTTCAAGTAAAGAATTTCTGGAAGCTTCAAGTGTGCCAGGATGCCACATCCTAGGTAGTGCAATCCTCACAACAAGAAGCAAGTATAGCAAATTCCTTGAAAGGGATGTTGCTAATGGAAGGACAGTTGATAGATAGTCATGTGAGGTGAGAAGGCCTAAACCCCCACAGATGCATTCACTAACAGCATTGTCCATTTTGTTAAATGAAAATATCCTAATTTTGGCTTTGGTATTGTCTTTGAGATATGTTTCCTGTAAAGCAAAGCATACTGGCTGATGGTCATCCTCATTACCATAATAAAGTGCAAATCTATCATGGTTCACTGCTTTAGGATTAGAAAGTTTTTGGATACGCACCACTACAGGCTAAATGAAGAGTCACTTTGAATGTGCATTTTCCTTGGGGAAATCAGTAATTCCCACATGCAGCTTTTTGGAGAGTTTCTACTGTACCATTAATGATATGTTCTTTTCTAGGAAAAAGAGTAGTGTTCTATTGAGCATTTATCCTATAGCAGCTTACTTCATTTTCATTCACTTCAAACACTGATATTTCTTTATCAGAGGTGTACAGTTCATTATTTCTGATGTCAGGGAAATGAGAGGGCTGATTATCTTGCAAAGAAGGGATCTTCTGTTTTTCGGAAACACCTTGTGAAATTGTGATTCCATTCAACTAAATTAAAAATAGCTAGGGTTTCCAGATGCTTTCTTCATGGTACAGCTTTGCATCTTTAGAGTGGCAGACTTTGGAATGCACTCTTTCTAGACCACTACTTGTTCCTGACTCAGCTCAAGCGACTGCTTTTGCAACTTTTAGAATGTTAACTGGGCTCGATTGCCTCTGTGCTCGTCTTTTTCATTTTGTAATTGTGGACTGTCCTGCGTTTTCTCTTTGTATTACTGGACAAGATATGACTGCTTTATATTTGAGCGAGTGCCCTGCACTATCTGCCTTTTCTTGTCATGTGGTGAGATATTGGAGAGCCCATTGTCTAATGGTGTAGTGGCCAAACAACAGGCATTTGATAAATTATTTCTGATGTCTGAATAAAAGCCATATTTCTTTAAAAAGTAAAGCATGCTTGGACCTGTAAATATCAACCACACTAACTGTATGCTCATATATTTTCATAATGCAAACTTAATATGTGCATTCACATTTTGGTGTATTGACATTTTTTCTGTGTTCAGAATCTGAAGATATAAGGTTGGAGTCATATGCAGAAGATGACTGTTCAAAGGCTTGGCTACATAGGCTTACAAAATAGTCATACTTAGATCGGTATCTATTATCATATGGGATGAAAAACTACTGATTTCCCCTTCCTTGCATAGCCCTTGATTTCTGCCATGAAGTGAAGATGTTTGAAGAATGTTGCACTTCCTGCATATGGCAGTCTTTGCCCCCCCCCGACAATGGCTGCTTATTAATTTCCCTGATCTTCTTTCAGGCTATTTTTTAACTTCTGAGCTGAAAGCATTTGGCACTGTTTCCTTAAAAGACCCTGTCTGTTACAATTCCATGCATTTTGTTTTATTAGTAGTAGTAGTATTCCATTTCGCCTTGAACACTGCCATCTCCTGTAGTTTTTTCAGCTCAGTCACCGCTTTCAGCATTGTATCTTTCTTACTGCTGACGCACCTTACAGGGCAACAACAATCTTTTCAAATCTTTATTATTTGCTGAAGCTTGCTAGATATCAGTATCCCTAATAGCATTCACAAAATACATAAGCTACCAAAGTGAAGACATCAGTGTTTCATACTATAATTATATTCTGAATTATACAATTTAAGGTATTAAAAACATGAATAATAAATGAGTACACTACAAGTTATCCCTATTTTTTGAGAGTATAAAATTAATATATTCCAAAATATAAGAATGAAGACATCATTCTTACATTTCCAAACTTTAAATAGCACATTCACATTGGGTTTATCCAACCTAGTGGAGACAAATAATCACAATAAATAGGGTTTATTAGGGAGACTTAAGAACCAATTTTTCATAGGCATTGGCCCTGAAGCAAACTGTTGTAAGTGTAAAACGATAATGATATTATATAATGTGAAAAATTGAAAATAAAGAAGGATTTTGCAGTGAACACAAACAATGTTATGCACAGGAAGAATTTTTTAAAAAAATTAACTTAATGGAAACAAGTATAATGCTGAAAGATATAAAATAGGTAGCTCTTTGGCACAAATTATATTTTAAAATTAAATTTAAACTACTGAAATAAATGAATTTTCAGAAACTCCATGCTCATCTTTTTCATTTCAACATTGTGGACTCTCAAATGCGTTCTCTTTGTATGACTAGACCAGATATGACTGCTTTACAGTTGGACGAGTGCCCTGCACTATATGCTTTTTCTTGTATGACAAGATATTGGAGAGCTCATTGTCAGGTGGTGAGATATTGAAGCACCCATTGCCATCTGGTGAGATCTTGGAGAGCCCATTTTTTTATTTATCAAATGCTAGGCCAAATGGAAAATGAAAAAGGATTTTGCAGTGATTGGAGAGCCTATTGTCAGGTGGTGAGATATTGAAGAGCCTATTGTCATCTGGTGAGATATTGAAGAGCCTGTTTTTTATTTATTCAAATGCCTGCAGTGGAAGCAACAACAGCAATGAAATAAATATAAAATTAAAAATAAAAATGCTAGTACTTTCAGTACTGAGAGATAAGACTGTTGTGCATAACTGATTGCGAGTATGTATTGCTACATTTAGAAGCCTCCAACTAAAAAAATTTTAAAAAATGCTGATTTAAATGAGGATTGCAGTTTACATGCTCGGAGCAATAACTACTTTGTGGGATAATCAGCTAAAATATTACATAGGTGGGGTGTAAAGCTGTGCTTGGACTCTTATTGCAAGCATTCATTGAAATGCTGAATTATTCCCCCCCCCTTTTTTTTTCCTCCATTATTCTTATTTATGTATGTACATTATGAAGCAGTAAGTGAACTTAATAACGGATATCGCCTGTCTTAACTGAAATTCAGTACAGATTTTAAAAAAATAGCAAAAAAAAAATATGCACATAAATATGATCAAATGTACAATAGAGTATAAAAAAAAATCTAAACAAAATATACATGAATGAGTGAATGAACTTTTAATCCTTTTGAATTTTTTGACAAAGAATTTAATCTCAAATCATATTGAATGAAATTAGACATATAGCATTTTATTTTTAAAAAAACTGAAATCATAAACTAATTTTAAAAAATAAAAATGCTCATAATCAAAGTTCATAATTTATTATGATTTTATTCTAAATATTGTATAGTTTTGTTGTATTGCATAAGAATTAACTTTTATATTATAATTATGTTATTACTATGCATTTTAATACACGTATTTAAAAAGATGAGCAAAATTAAGAATTTTAGTGTGAAAAATCTAGCACAAACGCAGATAAAATTCAATGAGTTTAATTTTTTAAAAATTAATGATTGATCTAGCTGGGAAAATGTGAAACGAGTGTGACCGTTTAGAAGCAGGGCAGTCAATCATGGAAACAGCCACATGTCTGAATATTTCAAGACAGACAGTCTCTAAGCTATGGAAACAGTTTCAAAATGATGGAAGTGTTGTAAGGAGGCCTGGACAAGGTCGGAAACGAATGACAACTGCTTCTGAAGATCGGTATCTGGCATTAACTGCCCGTCTTAACAGAAAGGCTACTGCTCGCCAGTTAAGTTCAGAGCTTGCAGCCGCCACTGGAACTGTTGCATCACGGCAAACAATATACAGAAGGCTTAATGAAAAAGGCCTTTATGCCAGAAAGCCAAGGGTATGTGTTTTACTGTCTTCACAGAAAAAGAGGGATCTCTTTAATTGGTGTAAAGAACATCAAAACTGGACTGAACATCAAAGGTCCCATGTTCTCTTTACTGATGAGTCGCGGTTTAGTTTAACTGGTGATTCTAAACGTGTTTACATCTGGAGGGAGTCAGGAACACGAAATGATCCCTCGAACATTGTGGAACGTGACCGTTTCGGTAGTGGAGGTGTGATGGATGGTATGGGGTGGATGGAATAATGATCGATGGACGTACGCCCCTACACGTGTTCAGCAGCGGATCTGTGACAGGCCAGATATATCGAGATGAGGTCTTAGATCCTTATGTAAGACTTTTCAGGGCTGCATATGGATCTGACTTTTTATTTATGGATGATAATGCCCGTCCACATCGAGCAAACCTCGTTGATGAATTCCTTGAAAGTGAAGACATTAAGCGAATACCTTGGCCACCAAACTCTCCTGACCTTAACTCGATAGAGAACTTATGGGACTACCTTGGAACAGCAATTGCAAGTATACATCCTCCTCCTAGAGATGTAAATGCTCTGAAGACGGCATTGCTGGAAGAGTGGAGATTAATTCCCCAAACTGTGGTTAACAACGTTATTTCTAGCCTTAAAACACGTTGTGATATGTGTGTACAAGTCAGGGGAGATCATATTCCATATTAAATTCGTAAGACTTAATTCTTTTTCTGATTCATTCCTTTTTTTCTTAACTCTCTTTGTGACACTTTATTACCATTTTTATTGTTTCATGCTACAATTTTATATCATATGAGGTGATCTTCAATTTTTTCTTTTGCATTTATGTGTCATCATGTTATGTATGATTCCACGAAAATTCATTAAATTATAAGTCATAGTCTCTGAAAAATCTGTGAATTTATGCATGTAAACATAATTTTGGACATGAGTGTATTATACAATATAGCAGAATTCACAGCTCTGGGGGATATCCAGTTTGCTTATAGGCTATCAAGAACTGACACTTATTAAACATTCAAGCAAATGTAAATGTAATGGGTAAACTGAATTAGATCAGAATTCTGTACCTCAGGTTATCTCCACTAGAGCTGTTGGGAATCAAGTGTGAATGATATTCTACAGAGCAATTCTGCACCATAAGGTCATTACATTTCAATTAATTAAAAGAAATGTTCTTCAATATAATATATGTTTTCATACCCTTTTTTTTTAATTATTATAATCCGACTAGAATAAATATATAATAACAGGTAGACTTGAAATAAATTAAAATTGTCCAATAAATTATCTTATCTTGAATTGGATTTCAGTCACTCATATTCTAATAGGAAGCAACTTCTTTAAAACATGTATGAATACTTATTAATCTGATTAGCATTAAAATGATGTTTCAACAGGTGCTGAATGGAATGTTTGTTACTCAATTAAAATGATCTACAGTGATACATTGTTATCAGTCCTTTTGCTGATCATGCAGCAAAGTATTTCATCTCTTTAGGTTATTGCTTTTATGCAGCATATTGTCTACATTGTTACATTAAGTGGAGCTTCCTTTCCCATCCACAAAAATATTTATAGAATTTTTTATTTCTACACTAACAATGTGGACAAGGAATGGAAAGAACCAAAAAAATTATATAATTTTCATAAACTCAAAATGATATAGTACATTTTTGAAGATTTGAAGTAATGGGTTAATTATTTATGAAAACATACTAGCTTACTTTCTTCATTATTGTGTGTAGTTGTGAGTTTCTTTAGATTCTAGAAGTTAAAACACTTGTTGGCAACAATGTTGATTCTTTTATCCTGCATAAATTTTGTGAATGATTTAATTTCTGTTCAAGAGAATTTTTTCATGTTTCATCCATTTGAAATAAGAAAATTCTTTTGGCTTAATCCATAAATTCAAATAGTCTATGCAACCAACATTTACCCTCTCTTCTTTAATTAAATCTTTCATTATTTAAAGAGCCGTTCATTTTTGAAAACTTAAAATTTACAGCTTCAGTTTTCAAATGTTTATATTCATGTTTTAAATGCATCTTGGAAATTAACTTAATCCTAAGAAATGAAGGCATGTCAACAAAAATGAGGATGTTTGAAAACCCCATTTTACCTTATTTCAAGTTATGAACAGTGAAGCATATCATAAACTGAAATAGCAGAAAACAGGTTAAAATTAGTCTCTGTTGGACAATAATCTGACAGTGTTTCAACTAAGTATATGGTATCTAAATTATCAGATGAGTGGAAAGAAAATGCCAGGCATAATTTTGTGACATAAAACTACATTTTAATATAATAGCATAATTTTGTGACATTAAAACTACATATATTGTGTCTAATGTCGTAGCTTTTCATACAGAATTAACTGATACATTTTGCACATATTTCTCGAAAGAAACCCTATGAAATGCTTCATATTCTTCAGCTTTATGGTGATCTGATTTAAAGAAAATTGCAAATGAATATTTTACAACCCTTGTTTACAAAATGATAATGTCTGCCAGTACTACTGGGCCTAAAAATATATTCTCCAGCTTCTCATTTCATTTATTCACAGTAAATTATGAAATTCTTTGAGTTTTGAAACAGCAATGAAATTGGTTTTCTCCTATAAACTACTTTATGGAAGATCAGGCTGAACTTGAATGATGAATCTCGTTCTATATAACATTTGAATAAATATTGCAAGACTGAACTTACTGAATTTTAAAATAAATGTTGCTCTACTGCTTACTGTGCTACAATAGGTTTTCAGTTGTAAAATAACATATTGTTTCCACATTAGCTTTTTAATTACTTATAGCTGTGGTTTAATAACAAACAGTTAATACTTTGGCAGAAAATTTCCGGCCCTGGTGTTAACGTTCAAAGGAGAAAATGTATTCTACTCTTTTGTACCAAATGAGATTAGCCTAAAACCCCTTTCCTCACAATTTCTGTCTTGACATATATTTAGTAAGTTCTGATTTTTGCCTAGCTATTGATGCAATATTTTGTGAGAAAAATAATTAATATAATTTCTTCATTTTTTCTTCTTTAATATATATGACACAAATGGAATCCCTGAAGTATATTTTTTATGCATTAGTAGCTATGTGAATAACAAGTGTTTCTTCTTTTCAGTCAGTAGCATTCTTTAGCTCAGTAGACGTAGATACTGTTTTGAGAAAAGAAGTAAACATGGATTCAACAACACCATCTAATCCCCATGGATTGCATAAGGGATATGGAATACCACCAGGTAAAGTGTGATTATTTAATATCATGTTTGTGTTAAAGTTTTCATCTAAAATAAACTACAAAGCTTTATTTAACAATCTTTAAATATTTTATAGGAGAAGCTCTAGATATTTTTGAAATTCTTAAGAAGACAGATGGGAATTTATTTAACACTGAGAAATAAATAATTATTTGTATGTAACTGTAAATATTATTTTTCTGATTAGTTTCTGAAAACAAATTTGTTCTGTATATTTTTTATATAAATTATTTTCTAAAAGCTTGGCATGTATGATTTTAATAATGAACATAAAACACAAAGTCATCCATTAAAGTAAATTATATTTTTTTATTCTAACGTGAAATTCCACTAGGTAAAATGTAGTAGTAGTTCTTATAATTTGCAAAAGTGCTGCATGCCAATTCAAGGAGGAGGAAGAATTAATTTCCTTTGGTTTCTTAATTTGGCAGATAAATTTTATGTAATTCTTCATTTTTGTATTTACCTTTATCTTTTCTTTTACAAAATTTTGTACCATTCAAAGTAGTTTGATGTTCCTGGTCTCTAATATTTGTTAAAATTTTTAGAAATAGGAATGTATAATTTTATTGTCATAGTATAAATGGCAAACAAAAATTTAAAAAATAAACCAATATCTTGCTGAAAGAACTGAAAGATTTAGATTTTTTCCTAATTTAGATATTTTTGCATGACTTATATGTAGTATTTATATACACATATATTTTACCCTAAATCCAGTTTACCGGGATACCCCAAAATTTACCCAGTATAAAGTAATTTAGATCTTATATCAAAATAATATATAGACAAATAACTTTACAACAAGTGAGCGGAGGGGGGAGAAATAAATTGTGTAACGATGTTTGTTTTTTAATAATTTTAAAGTTTTTTTTCCTAAAATGTTGTCTTCATTGTCATCAAGTTGTTGATTTGCCTGTTCATGATATCCATAGTGGGAAAGCTTTCCTTACTGTCTAGCTTCTCATCTGCTGTAAACTGTTCATTAATCACATCTTGTAGCTGCTCCATGTAAAGACCCTTTGATCTGCAATTCTGGTTCTTTTACCAGTTCATAAGCATCATCATTACCCTTCTTTATATCAAAGGAACATTCTCTGAAATACTATTTCTTCCACCACTGCAGCATTCAGTTCAGGCTTCTGTAAGTCTTAGATTGTTGTATTAAACTGGCCAGCAATTCATCCATGCAGATCTTTTTTTTTTTTTTTTTTTTTTTTTTTTTTTTTTTAAACCTTAATCTCCAGTCTTGTTTATAATCTTTAGGTAGAGAAATGTTCTTACTAAAAATTTTTGAATTTCCAAAATTCAAAAATTTGGATAGTTTCTTGAAACTGAAGATTACTTATTGATCCATAGGCTGGATGAGAGTAGTAGTATTATAAGAAAGATTCCCACTTTGATGAAGTTGTATTTAGCACTAAAATCTTCTAATCTTAGGTGGTAAAAGTTGCACTATTTCATATCAAAAGGGGTTTTTTTTTTTTTTTTTTTTTTTTTTTTCCAGAAACAAACTTTTCTCTTCCAAAAATTTCTTAACACTAGAGACAAAAACATCATTAAACCATCCACTAAAAACTGCTAAGTTACTCAGGATTAGAATTTTCCCTTAACATTACACCCTTAACATCTTTTCTTGTGAATTTTTTTTTTTTTTTTTTTTTTTTTACTTTTTTTTATTAATGCATTTAGGGAAAATAAACTAGCAGAAATTTTACCTTGAAGTCCCCATTAGCACATAGAAGAAGGGTTAATATATTATAGGCTTAAGTATTGTTAAGACTCCTCTTTCTTTGTAATGCAAGTGCTCTTTGACATTTTCTTCTATAGAAAAGACTCAGCTCATCTTGTCATAATTGAATAAAAAAAAAAGAAAAAAGTTCTCTTTAAATAGAGTATTTAAATTCAAAAACAATTTTTTCAGCAGCATGTTACTGGTAGTAGCAACCTGTCTTATGCCTAAAGCACATTACAAATGCTTGTTTGCTTTTTGAAGTCTTACCGACTGATATTATTCAAAGCCCCTACTGCCGCTAAGAATTTTCGGACACCCTACACTTCTGAGTCAGACACGAAAAGAACACTTTGCCAACTCCCCCACTAGAAAGAATGTAAGTTACTTAATACCTTTCTGGCCTTTATATCTTCATGTACATTCACTGATCTTATTTATATTTTTTTCTATATTATTATTTTTATATTATTTTTATGTTTTCTTTGATTTGTTTTTACAAAGTTTGCATTATTTATCTTTTTTATAATCTTCTATGTTTATTTCTACTTTACTTTGATTTCGATTTCATAATGACAATTTCCAATGTTTAATTTCTACAAATAATATAGTACTCAAATACATAAAGATGATAGTGTCGGGGACGGTTACTTGAGTTTTACAGGATTTCTCTACAGTAATTGATTTTTATGAGTAGCAACTATTCGCGGAAATATTTGGCCTGACCCATTTCTTTTATTTACTGCTTTACGAGTAAGGAGTTTTTACCTTTTTTTCTACATCAGCCACCTTGTTCTTCGTTAGTCCGTATGATTGATTTAGACATATATTTAGCAGCCAGGTTTAATAATAAATAATACCAGTTTTTCATTCCATAAAAATCCCTCCCCATTTTTATCATATCCATAACTATGACATTCTTTTGAAGAATTTTCAACACAACTTCCTTGGTGCCATTTTGAAACGGTGTCATTAGACGATGGCTCAAAAGCAGACAACTTTGAAATATTCATTGAATCAGCAACATATGACTGTGAATGCCATTACACTGCCTAGGTGAATACACAAAGTACTATTCCATCATTACATTTGCTTCAGATTCAGTGGTTTCATGGTTGTTACATAAGCTATCAATTATGCTTTTCTAAATGTTTGAATTTTATTCTGACCAACCCTTTGAACATTTTTATTTACCATCAGAATAATCATGTCACTACATAGCTAACTTATTTCAGCTTCAGGATTCTTTCAGAAAGCTACTGATGTCTTCTGTTCAAGGCTACCTTAGATCCTATAGCAATGTGAATAATTGGGTGAGCACCCCCCTGAAATTAAACAGTTTTTTAATATAAGCAGTGATTTTTAGAAACAGAGGATTTAGAATTTTCTGAAAAATTACTGAAGTTATTGCATATTTACATAGTTAAAAATATGCTTGATGCAAATTAATTAGAAGTAATAATTAAAATTATTATGTGTAAAACAAGAGAAGCCACTTATTAGTAAAATGAAGGAAAACCGTGTTTTGAAACAAAATGATAGGCAGCACACACTTTACACAAAATGATTGCAAAATAGATTTCATAGTGATAAATAAAATAAATGCAACACAACAAACTTCTTGCATTGATAGAATGTGAAAGAAAATGGATTTAAATACATACTAAGACCTCTAAACCAAATTATTTTTATCAATAATTAAAATAATGCATTATCTGATGATAATGAAACAGATTTGCAAAAATCATAAAATTTTCTAATAAGACTGAATGCATTTAGTCTTCTGTTATAATGTATTATCACTCTATCACCAGTACAGAATTTAAAAATGAAAACTTAATAGAAGCAATGCAAGATCTAGACAAAGATTTGCATTTAATAGAGAAGAAAACTAGATGTAGTAACTTTTTAGAGAAGCTAGGGGAATCAGTTTTGAATAAATGTTTGTGGATACTTTTAATAACATAATGAAGTGAGAATTATAATGCAAATTTAGAAATGTTACAGAAAGATTTGAAATGTAGTTATAGTGAATGAAGTTAGGTATGATGCATTGTCTACATTTGCATAAAATTTGCAGAATGTAATTTACAAAAACAATTTTTAACATCTTAAATGAATGGAAATAGTATGAGATGTAATTACAAAAAATGTTCGTCTTATAAGAAGACTGTAAACAAAACAAATGGAAAGAATAAGAAATAAAATTTTAAAATATAATAAATTAAATAAAATGACCTAAGATGTAAAGAAAGATGAAGGTCAAAAACAGAAACTTCCCAGAAAAAAGGTATAAAAGAAAATATTAGTAAACAAATACAGAATATTAAAGGATGAACAAAATAGCAATGGGATATTCTGTATCTAACATGTATAAATATTTTAATTACAATGATTTCTCTATGTAAAAAATACCTCCCAATAATTATTTTGTAATTTCTAGCTACACATAAATAATGTCTAAACAGAAATATAGTATATTCACTATTCTACATTATTTTTCAGGGATGTGGAAAACAATGTTGATTTATGTTAAAGTGTATGTTTTAAACAAAATACTATTTATGGACAACAAATCAGCTTCTAACAACATTTAATGGCATCCTGAGAAGATAATCAGGCCATAGACAAGAAAAATTCTATACTAACAATTGGCCATACTTCTTGTGATATCTCCCAACAATATCCTCTACAGGTGGTCCAATATTCTGTACATCAAACAAAAATAAATTCACTTTTCATTCACAAAAATAGAGCCATTTCCTATAAACAACAATCTTGTGCGCCAGCAAACACAAATTTAACAAATACTGTTGGCTTAGCCATGAACTCTACAAAACATTACAATAGGCCTTTGATTGGCATATCACACTAAACACCTGCAAATCATTCAAAATTTCTAACATTCGATCTACTCAAGACTCTTTTGAGCTCAGCATATCTAATAATATTTTTTAGACACACACATATAAATGTATTTATATATTCACAAATGGACAGAATCCATAAACCATCATTAGCAGGTGTATCACATAATATGGCAATCTTAACACAGATTCAAGAGTGTTTTTAAGCTCATTATGAACTTCTGTACAATATTAATTACACATCTATTGCATAAGAACCATATCGCAAAAATCATCTTCAAATTATGCAGCAATATAAAATTACATGCTTTTCTTCAAATATGAATGTTAAAAATTTAATTTAAAAAACATAACCTGAATCTACTCATTTAGTAGTACACTAACTAATATGATTATAAAATACTATAAAATGTCCATATTCCTCTCTGATGCAATTAACATACATTAATGTCATGAGAATATTGTAAAAAATATGTACAGTCTAAGTTTTAATGAACTATATAATTATGGTATTCATTAAAACTAATAAATAACATAAAATCAATGAGATAAATGAATCTCTTCTGCTAGAAAGAGATTCAATTAAAGTCCAGAATACTATACAATATTATACATATTTTTTTAAGCTTACTGTTAAATACTTTTCTAGAAAAATTCACAAGCTTTTGCTTCATATATTCTAAATATCTGCATCTGCTTATAAACTGCAATAGAATTTCTACTATTACTTTCTATCTACTCTTTAAAAAAAGGGGAGGGAGGATACTAAAAGAGTTAATGTAATGTACACTAAGAAAGTTAAATAACGAATTACAACACTGAACGTTTTCCCTGCTGCCTACTTAAAAATTTGACTCAAAAGAATAACTTATAAACTACTATATGCTACATTGTAGAAAATACTCTTTTGATTGCATGAATTGAATGTAATAAAAAATCTGTGGTAGTCCATATTCAAGTATTTTATGTTTAATCAATTTTTAAAAAAATTTTGCTTTTTTACAACATTCTCTTGGTATATTTATCTTACTTTCTTAGTCCTTCATACGAAATAAGAATTAATTCCATGTGAAATAAAAAGCTGTTTATATAGCATCCTGCTTTCTTATAAGACATACGTTTGCATGCCTCAAGGAAGTCTATGTGACTTTATTTAAAATCCATATCATTCTACATATTTTTTAAAAAATAATAGCTAGCATGAAAAAGGTAAGCCTTTCATTTTACACATTATTCTTTTAAAACTTATTTCAAAATCTAAACATCAATAAGTCAAATGAAAAGCAAAAACAATGATATCACTACTAAAATTCAATTTTTAATTTTATAGTAAATGTGAAATAGATGATTGCAGGTATATGTTCCAGGCTTTAGCAGTATTTTTAAACAATTTATATTAAAGCTGAAATTTTCTAAAAAAACTTCAATTCAAAGATGGTCATGTACTAGATTTAAAAAATTATAAATTAATCAACAGTCATTTTTGTTCAGTCTTTACCTGGAATAGTTGAGGATAAAAAAATAATCTGTAGCAACAATAAGATTTATTTATAGTAGCTAAAAATGATTTGAGAATTCCATTTGTGAGAAAAATTTAATTTAGCAAATAGCTATATTGTTAACTGGAAAATTCTGTATGTAGAAACACTCCATGTAAAATAAGTACTTTTAAAATATTCAAATGTAGAGAGGGATAAAAATGAGATATCAAAACTAAACTGCAGAAAACACAGATAGATGGTTGATAAAAAAATGAGTGGATGCTAAAATTTGAAAGGGGGGGGACTTATTTTCCAACTTAAATAAGATTTTTAAAAAAAAAGCTATTTTTGAATCTCGCACTAGTTCTTCCTTCAACACAGCAATTTTTTATTTCAAATCAAACTTCGACTACAAAATCTACCTGTATGCTAATGTACTTCCTTCTCTTAATTCTTTATTTTCTGTGATCAGGACTTTTCAAACTCTAGGCATCTCTTGGAACTACACGAGCTACCAAAAAATTCAACTTTTCAAAGTTAGTGTTGCTTCATCAAGCACTTGGCATTATTCTGATTACCGATTTGAATGTAAAATTTGATATAAAAAGAGTTCTGATATCTGTCACTGCAACTACATGCCAAAAAAAAAAAGCTTTCTTTCAGCATAAACAATGGTCTAACATTTTGATTTTTGCAGGTTTATGCCGATAATAACTTCAATGAAAGGAAACTCCCTTCTTTCAAGTGAAGTGAACTGTTTAATTTAGGCCAAGGAAGTTGATCATTATTGTTTTTTTTTTTTTTTTTTTTTCCAACAGTTGTCGAATACTTAAGTATTGGAAATAATATGATCTAATAACATTTGCTTGCTTCAATTATCCTTTTTTTAATTATTGCAGATCAGAAATTCTAATGGCAGATATTTCAACTTTGTTTTAAATCTCTCAGCCCTCATCAATACTTGTAAATTTAATATAACTTTATACGTATACTAATTTGGAACTATTCAGAGTGCTTTATGATTCAAGCATTTAATAACAACAAATCAGACTTTTCAAATCTTCATTAATGAAATAGCATTCAGTAATCGGTATATGCATAAAAACTGAGAAACTGTTAGAAGAAAAAAAAAATTAGTTAAGCTTTGTCTCAAAATATTCTTTTATTTCATATTTCCCACCTTCTGCTTCAAAGGAACTCTATAAAATAATTTATATGATCAAGGATTATTCAATAAAGTTTCAATTATATTTAGCATAATTCTCTTAATTATACAACACGCTTCTGGACTTTAAGCTAAAAATTAAGATTTTATGTGGTGACTGTACATATGCCTCAAACTATTTGAACAGCATTTTACTTTTAAACAGAAATAATTTTAGCAGACCTTTCAGGTGTAACTGTAGAAAAACAGAGGAAGTAAGATTTAATTAAAAACTTATTAAAATTCTCTACAGTATAATACGAAATTTTACATGCACAAAAATAAAATACATATTTAATCCATGAATATATATGTAATGAATCTTACATTGATATGGCTCTTATAAATTCAGTATCTAAGGAAAAAAACACTTACGAAACTGTGTTTTACACAAATGGCTTAACGATCCCTCTCCAAACAATATAATGCTTATATATACATAATATTTTTACACAATACAGTGATAAGAAAATGGCACAATGGTTTAATGTTTGCTAGAAACAATTTAAAGTCTTACTATAAGTAAAGCAGAATAGTACACAACAAACTGGTAATATTTCACAAACAGAAATAAATGACATTACAAATAAACATATTAATCCAATGAAGTGCACAACTTGAATAACTATGTGCAAATTTTTCTTATACTGTACTAAAGATGTGCATTAGAAGACTAGATTAAAAGCATTAAATAGCAGTATCTAACAACAATTAAATAATTTTGTTAAACAAATTTCACAACAAAATAATAATTAATTTTGCATTCAGTATCAAAAATCTTTAAAAAATTAAGCATTTGCAGCTATAAAATGAAATACATAACCACCATTTTGACATTTTAAAAATATCAAAGAACTTTAATAAATCTGTGTAAATAAAATATAATTATGTACAAATTACTAATATTTAAAAAAATGAAATGCTCAAATATGTTTGACTAACAAAGCGACAGCAACTGTTTTTTCATAAAAACTGTAGGTAACTACTATTATATATTTGTACATTTTCTTCCTAATAGCAACTGATTGCATAGATAGTTGGAAATATACAGTGAAGTTCACGCTGACACCTACAATTTTAAAAAAAATTTTAAATAGCGACATAAATTCAAAAACTACTAAAAATTTCCAAATAATACCACCTACTATTTTTTGTTAATCACAAAAATAATTTTAGTAAAATTACTGACTATGTTTTGATTTAAATTATTTCAACCACTGTAGCATCATCTTTTAAGCAATAACAATCACAACTAGAGAGTTCTTACATTATAGGTTGATTGTTGGCAATTTACTTTTTCATATAATGTTAATCACCATTCAAAATCATATTATTAAATTTATTAAGATAATTTAATTGAATAAATAATTTATAAAATAAACAAAGGAAGAATGTAAAAATACATTTCTATAAATATTCACAAAAGAATTTTGAAATATCTTGGGAGTAAGATATAAAACAAATTTCTAATTGTCACAATTAAACTTCATAATGAAATTTAAATTTATATATTTCACACAACTAAATTCCTATATGAATATCTGATAACGGTTATTCCATTTACAGAAATAGATTACATATTCACCAAAATTTGCAACAATAAAAAAACATATATTTTCACAAGACATAAAAACATTCTTAATTTCCCCTAAATTTTTTACAGACTCATGCATAATTTACATAGAAAATAAGTTAGCCTTTTTTACGAAAAATAAAACAGCCGCAACAGGAAAAGAAATGAGTAGTCAGAAAATGCATTAGAACAAATACTACAATCCTCAACTTTTCCTAATAAAAGCATCTTAATTGCTCTTCTGATTCAAAACACTATACTATTTAAGTTGCTAGGATTAAAATGTGACAGCTAATTAAAAAATATATGCTGATTCTTGTTTCTTCAACTCCTTCACTATTGTATTAATATCTCATATAATAAAAAGCAAGATGATATGGTTACAATTTTACTTAAATTTTGCAATGGTTACTATGAATGATGAAGAAAATGGGAAAATGAGCTGTAATTTGACTCATCTTTTAAACTAAAATTCTTAATGTCATAAAACACATTTGAAACTGAACTTACAACATAAATGAATTTATATAATTCTTCTTACCTGTTATAATTCTAAAAACACATATATATGTTTCAAGAGTTATATATATATATAACTATGAAACACTTAAAAACTTCTCAAAGATTAACTATGATTGATTACCACATACTTTATATCCAAAACTTTGGAAGTTTAAATGTTTTTGTCTTTCCACTTGTATCATTATGACTTTTTTTTTTTTTTTTTTCCTATTGCATGTTTTACTCATATAACAATATTTTTTATTTACCACTTTTTCATGCATACTGAAATTTAATTGCAGATATAATAACAAATTTTACATTTTTTAAATTTCTGAATTCAGAATTTCTTAATGATTAATTAACAAATATTCATGATCCATGCAAGCATTTTTGGCAAACAATGATTTAAGTTTGGAAAAACAAAGTTAGTAAAAAGATGGTCAATTTTTTAAACTATCTTGTATCATAATTATCTTTTTTACTTTTCAGAAATCAAAGTGAATAATAAGCATGTTTGGAAACATTTTAAAAATACATTTCAATTATTAAAGATATAAAATACATTCAAGATTCTTTTGAAGTCCTCTTTCTAAAATCAATATAAACTAATAAATGGTTCAATTGTCTTCTCTTAATATAAATTAGCATAGTTATTATAGATAAAACAAATAAAAACATGTGCATACAAAAAATACTAAAATTAATATAAATGCAATTTTGAAAACTAGAAATGCACAAAAGAAAGCTTTAAAGAAATATTTAAGTTAAAAACATTGCTAGCTTATTTTATGATGTAAAAATGTCACTAATGTAAGCTTCAAATTATATCTCGCTCCCTTTATAACAATTAAACAGATCAAATAGTGACACTGTGTACTAGATATAATAAAAGTGCTAACAAAAACATGTAACATAGTTATTGATATAATATATATATATATCAATAAATTCTTGTTCAGTTACGAAGTTCAACTGTTCAAGCCCTGTAAATGCTGTATCAAGATTTCTCATTGTGGCCAATGTCAATAATTGTCATTGTCACTGGTCTCTAACCAACAAATGTTTGGAAGTGACAAGCAGGAATCTCAGTTACACAGGAGAAAAATTGCCTTTACAGCACGTCTGCTTTTTTTCTTGTCTATTCTCCATTCTTAGCTTTTGTATCAGAAAACAAGACTAATTTTTTTTTATTTAAAAGTCCCATTATTAGTAAATCATTTCGGATATAGTACGTTCAGATTTCAGAATTTGTGTTGGATACTATTCAACAAAAATTACAGTTTTTCAAATAAATTACATAAATGAAACTTCTCAAACAAAATTAAAGAATACTATGATTAACTGTTCAAAGACTTACTAATCAAATTAATGTGGCAGAACAAACAGAGCTTATGACAAGTTAAAGATTTAATAAAGAAGGGGAGGAGAAAAGGATGCAATAAACAAAATGTTGCCTTGTGGTTTAGATTTGAACAATCTAAGTTTAAGCAAATTACTATATACATGAATGAAAAATTACTTCTAAATATTTAGAAAAAAACAGTAAATCAAGTTTTTACAACATTAAAAGACATAAGAAAAGAAGATTCTGTAACAATAATGCATTTGTAACAGTTTTAAAATTATTCTGCATATTTACCATATTAAATCATACTTAATTTTCAAATATCTAAATAATGACTTACACAATTTAATGCAGAAGCTAATCATATTTGAAAAGATCAATAGACTGATATTATATTTTGCATTCAGATACCAAGAAATTATTTTAAGATTACTACTTGTAAATCTTTGGATATTTATAATAGCAATAAAATTTTGTTTTCATAAATTTATTAAAAAGTTACTTTAGTTTACTGAAGGATGATACATAAATAATCAGAGCATTAAGCTAAATAAGCACAGGCATCAAGGAAAAAAGGGCATCATAAAATGGTCTTTAGGAATGGTGCCACTAAAATTTCCTATTGTCAATTTTACCATGGAATATATGGTGCAGGTGACTAAGAGAGAAGGAAATGGGGGGAGGCGGAAATTTATGTGGGGACACCAAAATCCTTTAAGTGCTTGCAACCTCTGAAAATCTTAATCTGGCCCAGTAAATATATTAAAAACTAAACATTTTCTGTTTTAATATATTTACTGGGCCAGATTAAGATTTTCAGAGATTGTTCCTTGTAAAAAACAACATTTGTTATTTCATTAAAAGATAAATATCTATCTATTTACAATTTAAATGCATGCCATACATATGGAAACATACCATGGAATGTTTATAAATGGAATGCATAACTTTTAATAAGTATCTGAAAGCAATAACTGAGTCCAACTAGCTTAATTATAAGTCATTTCTAACAGACATCAGATGCATTTAATGCTTACTTTTGTTATCTGTTAAAAAAAAGGGGGGAATACAAATGTAAGTAACCAATGTAAGTGTATTATTAGGACTGAGGAAGGAAAAGAGTATGTCGTGATACATTAAAGCTTATGTGTCATATAAAAAAATTAGAAGTTAAAATAAAATACATATATAATTTGCTTTATTATTATTCAGTTTTTTTTTTTCCCCAAAAGCATTTTTAAGTTAAAAAATTTGCTGTTCATTTATAAAAGCAAAAAAAGCAGCTCAGACAGATTTACTACTTTTTCTTCTATATCGCATAAAATATCCTTCAAGTCAATTTTATTATCATAAACAACTTACATTTATATAGATTTACTGAACACTTCAATCTCATTAGCTAAATGTGTCTCATTCTGTGGCAGTGTTTAAAACACAGCTTATGTTCTAATAATCATATGATATAAAACAGTGTAAGTTTCCCCCCCCATGTTAATTTTGTTTTATTCTTAAAATTCTAATAAGAGTAAAAAGGTTTCAAAAAATACAAAATAACTTCCATCACTCGTAAGATATTTCAATTCTCGCTCTCAAATGAAACATGACATATTTATACATGCATACTGCAGTAATGAACACAAAATATCAACAGATATTTTTTTTAATAATTAGTGCATAAACTATGGCAACATATGCTACATTAAAGGGCCTAATGCAAAATCTTCATTATACAATGCAGATGTATCAACAGATTCTTGGGGTTTTAAGTTAGATAATATAATAAAACATTTTAGAATGTTTTGGAAATATTAACAAAAAAAAGGGGAGAGAGAGGAATCATGAAATTTTTACTTTGGAAAAAAACAAATCAAAATGCATTGAGGGAAAAAAGAAACTTGAGTTGTTTCGACTCAACAATTTTCTCAAAGAAGACAGTTGCAGCATTCATAGTATGAAACCTACATCATTGCATATTGTTGGGGATGCAATTTAATCTGAATAAGTACTAAATGAAAAGATGATCAAACAAAATTAATGAAATTGAGAAAAATAAAAACATTTAAGTTTACAAACATAAAACTACAACACTACACATAAAATATTATTTTATATATTAGCTCTTAGAAGAAAGAATGAAAAAGTTACATGCTATATGATAATAAAAAATTTTACACTACATTAACTTAGATATTAATTTGCACTGTTCATACTGCATCTTTCTGACAAAGAAAGGGAAAATAGAAAACCCTTAGGTGTTAAATAAGAAATCAGAACCTGATAGAAATATTTATTGAGATTAGCTAGCCTCATAACAGTCAAAGGATAATGTTCTTAACTTTTCATAAATCTGACTTCATCTAAACTTCCCATACAAATTTGTGATAATTTTTTCTTAACAATTACTTCAAATCATACTGCAAATGCTGTTATGAAAAACGAATTAAGTCAATAAAACTTGCATATCTTCAAGAAAATTTTCTTCCTTCACACAAGATTCCATGAATGGTTATATCAATTTAGATCATAAAAAAAAATAAAATGATACAACAAACATACTTTAAATTTCAGCATTTAAATACTGATTATATACATGTTATAATGCAAAGAACCCCCAAGATACAACAATCACCAAAACAACTCTAAAAACATAACAAATGTATATAAAAATAAATTTTAACGCAAAATACAAGCTTTTCCTTTGCCTTTAGTCATCAGCTTTTAATATGCACAGCCATAAAAAATAACCATTTCAAAAACAAAACCCCCAGCATGAATTTTTTTAAGAAGCATATTTAAAAAAAAAATTTACTTAAATTTCTAATATCCATTTAGTTAAAATCTGAAAAATATTTAAATTCCCTTGAAATACATCCAACTACAATTTTGGTATTTCAAAAAAGTTCATTTGAATACTGATTTATTTTACTGCTGATTTTTACTATTATATTGTAGGAAGTAAAAATTCAGTAATACTGTGGAGATTTTTTTTTTAATTTTAAATGATTTCAAATATAAGACTCCATATGTATGAAATTTCTTATGTATTATTATATATATTTCTTATGTATATTTTCCATATGTATTAATTTTATAAATGCAGATGACAAAATTAATAAGCTCTTGGTATAATCATCACCTGTTAATAATCTTGATAAGCTGGATGATTACTATAATTGAGAATATTGTTAATATTCATACTGTGTATAAAATTTCTGACATAGTTTCTCAAGAATGCACCTGCAAGTTAAAAGTTCACAGATCTCTCTCAAAATTTAAATAATTGACATCATTTCAGATATTACAGCAAAAGGGATGTAAACTTTGCGACAGATAAAGCCCTTAAATAATAATATATATTTTTGTAACTAATCAAATCAGTTAAACTGGCATTATATTCAAAATTAAAATAAGGTGGAAAATACAAGTTTTCTCTTACTTGAATTATGAATTTTTAAGGACCTGAAAAATTCATTTTTGTATGCAAATACAATTATTTTATTATGCTCTGCTTTATTGAATTTTACATGAAATCTGTAATATGATTTTTTTTTAAAATGATAGTTTGAAGCAGATTATATCACACAAATTGATTGATGCTACTTTGTGCAAGTCCATCTAGATTTTCAAATGACTATGATTTGATTTTTATTGTTAAATTTATCCTTCTCCTTCACTTTTTTTTTGTTTGTTTTTTTAGTGTAGGATAATATGGTAGCAACATTTTGGCATTTTTTGCAACATTTCGGATTTTTCATTATAGTTTATTTACAAAAGCCCTTAAACACTCAATGACACTTAATGCATTTTACTTTTAAAATATTCATTGAGGTTTTATTTCCTTTCGCTATTTTTAAAATTGTCCTCATAGAAACCAATATGATGGACTTCGTTATTTACTTTTATTTAAACAAATTATGCAGCCAACAAACTTCAACATCCTGAATAGCAAACAGCCATAAACATCCAAGCAAGATTCTCCGGATAATGATTACAATTTAAGTATTTTTAGAATAAATTTTGCATATATTTAAGTGAATATATATTGGAAACATAACTTATAATTTACTTATAATGGGAGGTGGGGACTGTGCAATTCATTTGTTATGGTTGACTGGAATTGTATCTGCAATATTTTGAAATACAGCTCTCCACCAATTAAGCACTAGATTGGAGGACACTGAAAACATCCAAAAAATTAATGCCTAAATAAAACAAATAACACAATATTCTTTTGACATTGTACATTGTTAGCTTAAATATACTACTGAGAATTCTTTTTAAAATTAAAATTCATCATTAACATATTTCTTCAAAAATGTTTACTTTCAGAATAAGTACTTTCTCATTGATAAATAAAAATATGTTCGAGGTTCATAAAAACCTTAATGTCCTACCAGCATTGGGATACACATTTTCAAAATTCTTACATAAAAATATAGAAGTTCTGTATTTTGTTTCATCTTGTATATTAGCACATTTTAATTTATAAAGAAGCTTAAAAAGTATATGTAAAAGCTATTAAGATGTTTCTTCTAACACTCTTAAAAATAGATATTGTAAAAAAAAAAAATGCTGATCAAGTTATTTGGCTTCTGCATTAATTCCAAATTCACAACATATTATATTATTTGACAATATTTTACTTTATATAAAAAAATCTACAACCTAACAAATGTAAATTTGGATATGATGTTGTCAAACAGTTTTAGATTATTACTGTGGTGTCTTCAATTGTCAAATAAGACTGTTAATGGGCACTGCTTACGCTATCAAATACGCAGCGAGAAATGAAGGTGATTTTCGTGTTTGAAGAAACAGAAGTTCCTTGCACTTGAAGACAGACTATGTAGTAACTGTGTTATGAATTATTTAAAAAATGATTCTGCATGCGGCAAATGGCATAAAATCAAGGTCGATGTTCGACCAATAATGGCTCTGTCCCAAATCAAAAATTTTAATTTGTTAAAGGCTTGAATTTTTTATTTATTCTAATGCTTCATTTATTAAGAGCAATTTTGACAGATTTTTGTTGAACAAAAAGCATGTTTTTATTGTAATGTACGAAACACAATTTGACTGTTTTGTTCAAAAAAAAATACTTTGTCATATTTGAATTTCTAATTTTACAAGAAAAATAAACTACTAGATTGTGCTAGTTCATTAATATTGCAGTTTAATTTTTAAAAACTGCACTTTGAAAAGTTCCTGTGAGGGAAGGAAGTTAAGACTGTAGTGTCTTCAACTGCTCAATAAGTTAGACTAACAGAGGGTGCTGTTACAGATATTCAGCTGTCAAATATCTAGCAAATAATTTTTAAATCCTTGTGCTCCAAAATGAATGATGAAGTATAACAATTGTATATAAAAATAAAATTGCGTTAAGAATTATCAAAAAATTAATTTTGTATGTGACACATGGTATACAATAAATGTTGATGTTCAACTAAATGGTGGAATTCTTCCAAATCTTCATTGCAATATATATCAGCAATATGGTACCATGAAAGAAGTCCTGGAGAATTTTAATTATAAGCTAAATAGCTTTTTTGAAACCAAGATCAAGTAGTTGACAATCGTAATATTCTAGTTCTAAATGATCATCACAATACAATAGTACAATTATGGGGAAAAAGGAGAATTTAAAAAAATTATGACAAATTAATACAAAATGTCAATTATTAGCCAAATAAATCTTAAAATTACGTACAGCTACGCCACCAAACAAAAGAAGTTTTAAAAATTATAAATCACAATGTATGGATTACATCATTATGATAAATAATGCAAGCTCCCAAAACAGATATTGCAAATGTAACAATTGTGCAATGAAATGGGAATGATGCATAATAAAAGCTGATGTTCAATTTTTGCATAACAAATTTAGTTTCACGTATTTTATCATAAGGACAGCATAAAAAATGCACTGGAACTTTGTTTTTTAACCCTAGAGCAGCACAATCACTTTTATCAGTGGTGAGATTAATGTCATTTTATATACAACTTTGTTTTCTTATTTCTTTAATGATCATCCAAATGAATGTAATACCATAAAAAAGAGTAAAATCAGTAATTATAAGTAACTAACAAGTAAATGCTGTTTAAACACAGCTTTTTATAAGCAGATCCAAAAAGCTGTGCCACTCAAAGGGTTAAGATACAAAATAAAATATGCTCAACAAATAATGTGTATGTTTCATATCACACAAGGTTTACAACACAACAGTGAAATATGAACCTTATACTGCACCACAAAGAGAAAATTATTTCATTTCTGCCTTTTCATCTAATAACAGAAAGTCAGAGATGAATTTAACTTTGGAATAACAACATTTGTAACAGAGAATAAAGACATTTACATATTGCCTCTGACAAAGAGCAAAGAATCACCACCTTCATCAGACTTTGTTATATAAGCAATGCTTTTTTAACACTGATACAGATACCTAATTTTGATCTCCTTTTGATATATTTCTGGGACAAATACAACAGGAAAATCAGGTGTATTTTATACACCATTTTAGCACTTCTCCTAAGTACAATCTTGATATATTTACTTACTGAAACAAATATCAAAGACAGTAAAGGAAGAAGTTTGACAATGGGCCATATACACATGCGAATCACAGCTGCGACACTTTTTCCGTCGCCTTTTAAGTATCACACACCGGTGGCCTGACTATGGCCTGTTATTCTCGCCTACTTCTCTTCGTTGTGCGTCCAGCAGACATGAAATCAAATTCATTTGTTTGACGCCCCCTCTTTACAACTTGAACTTGAGACTGTGCAGTAAGCAGTAACTGGATTGCTGATGTATTTAATTTTTCAGCAAGCAATAAATCTTTTAAGCCTTTCATCTTCTGACTCATCAAAGTGACACATGCAGAATCTGTGATCTTGTTATCAACCTTTTAAAAAACATAAAATGTCAACAAATTTTTAACACAAAAATTAAAATAGTACAATTGAAAATAATTCAAATCATTTAAATCAGCTAAAACAGCTTCATAAAAAAGACAGTCTTCAAAAGAATTAAAAGGACATAAAATTTTATTATTTAAAGCTATCACATAGCTCATTCTCTCTTTGTTTTGAGTCGACTACTGCATAATTTTAAATGAAATACGATTCAATTATTATCACAGATAAATTTTTTCTACAATTTCAAATAGCATTACTTATTGGAAATGTCTTAAGGACATTTAATTTTCACACTTTTAAGATATATATAGAGAATTTCCTAAATTCAAAATTTTATGTGATAATTTTAGAAGAGTTGACATTTTATTCATTTAATTACACTAAACTGTTTAGATGATAAAGTGGTAGCAAAATCAGCTAGAATTTTCCTTGAATTTTTTTTTTTTTTTTTTTTTTTTTTTTTTTTTTTTTTTTCAATTTCAAGACAATTTACAAGGTAAAAGAGTAAAAATATATTACAAAAGTTTCTATAAAATAAGCTTTTAGTTAAAATTCATGAAATATTAATGAACTAAAAGTAAAAAAATAATTTATTATGTAGTTTAAGGGTGCATCAGATTAAATAATTTTCTTTAAAAAATCCATCTACAGTTTTATATCATGAATAACAGTGTGTGCCTATGCAACTAAATCTATTTTCATTGTACTGTCAGGAGTTTAAGCCATTATCTTTATAAATTTGTGAAGGGCACCCTATGCTTTTATTATTTGTGATATAAAACTACAGATGGATTTTGTAAAGAAAATTATTTAATCTCTTGCAACCATGAAACTATATGATAAATTATGTTTTTAATTTTAGTTCATTAATTATTCTATAGGTTTTAAATAAAAGTTAATTTTATAAAAACTTGTTTTTTATCTTTTTAGTCTCAATGACATATCAATCTCAACTGAAAAATCGGCTTTCAACAATGACTAACAACTCTTTAGCTTACAATAATTTTGCTTGCAACGATGTCAAATGATTAAAAAAAATAGTGAATTTGCAGAAAACTGAGAAACTATGTTAAAAATCTTCCACAAACTTTATTTTAAAATCCTTTATCTCTCTCACTCCCTCTAATAGTGCAAACATAAAAACCTGAGAGTTGTAGAGTTCCTCATTTTGAGATGCTGAGTTACTGTTGAACGTCAAGAATCTTAAAAACTGATAAGTGAATAATCGCTTGAGTTCACATGCTCGAGTGTCGCTTGAGTGACAGAAAATAAGATGGAAGGATAAATAGCCCTTTATTATTCAAATAAGATTTAACAGAACTCCGTCTTGGAGTGTAAAATAAAAGCTGACACTTATGCTTGAACTTAAGAGGCTAAGAATTAAGGCTAATCTTAAGAGGCTAATCTAAACTAAAGAGATATAGCCGAAGCTATCCAGATTCTAATCGAGCTGGCCCCTTAACGCTAATTGACTGCAAAGCTGTCAAGGGCCTAAAGTACGGCCGAGCATAATAATAGCTTACGAGAGAGTAGCCAAAAAGGCGGACGCGTGCAGACAGAATACCTGGTAACTCTTTCCCTAAGACCGAAGAACTTTGCAGTTAAATACCCCTCTTCCTCATTATGTATTCAGACATGATTCTAAAACTACGTTCTGGCCGGAAGTAGTAAGTTGAAGTTAAGAATCAACAGGAAAGGAAAATTTAACTGTTAATAAAATTAACATAATCTTTACAGAGTTTTAGTTTGTTCATTCAACAAAGACATATATGAAAAATGGTTTCAATTTAAAATTTTAAAAAAATCGCTTCACTACATTGCAGTCTCATCCATAATGAATGTAATGAGCAAAATTTGAGCTTCACAGCTTCTCAGAGAACAGCTGTAAAAATGTACTATAATGTTTTGACGATTAAGTGACAAACATCATGGGAGGGGGGTCAAATAAAGGTTTATAAAAACACAGCTAGTTTTTAAAGTAATCTAATTAATATTTTTTTATGCTTCTTGTTTTAAAAAATGAAAGAGAGTTTGTTTTATAACCTTTGAAAATTTCAAATCCTTGAAACAGATATTTATGATGCTAGAATTTTAAATTCCTATAAAAGATATTATGTACTATAGTAAAACTAAGAAAATCAATTTTTAAAATGAATGCTGATGAAAATGTATAATAAACTTACGAACTGGAAAAAAAATTAAATGACACAGCAGATTTCATTACAAATAATTTTAAATATTAATCAATCGATTTATAAAATTAACTGTACATACAAAGTCTATGTATAAAAATGTTGAGAGAGAAATAGCAATTATAAAATGACAGAATATTTCCACAGTACACTTAACAGATTTTCAAGGAATTATTTGTAGCAAAGGGAACTAGTAAATGCAATTACAACATTTAACTTTGTTTTTGGGCAATACTTTTTGCTCTCTTCTTCCTACTGCAGCCCTTAAAAAAAATTGCACAAAATCACAGGGTTAATCTTTTATAATTCTCGTTTTAAAAAAAAATAATAATTGTTTTATAATCCTTCAAAACTTCAAATCCTTGTGATACATTTTTAAATGCTGAAATTTTAAAAAATACTGCACATCAAACAAAGAAAGAGATTTTTTAAATTTGCCCCCAAAAAATCAGAAATTATATTAAAAGTGTCATAAAAGTTTCATTAAGAAGATTTCTCTCTACTTCATCCAACGGTGCAAATAATAAAATTCTGAGACTTTTTTCATTAAACATAGAAATACATGAAAAGTATTCCAATGCAAAATTTTAAAAAATCAATATCAAATTCTGAAAATTTGTTTCAACATGTGTTGTCATAAACAGTGCTCAGCTTATCAGAAAGTAGTCTAAAAAACCGATCACAAATTTTTTACCACAGTAACAAACACCATGAGTGAACTAAATAAAACGTTTAAATTCTTTATATTATTTTCAAATTATATTATTTTTTCAAAAATATTATAAATATTAGCTTTTAAATAGTTGAGAGTTTTTTTTTTTTTTTTTAAGATAAGTAGTTTGTGTGTGTGCCTATGTGTGGGTGGATAACTTACCTCTTATCTCATCTCTTTTTAACTTATTCAATTCTGGTAAAAGCCACCATAATACTTGCTTGATCCATCCCCTCTATACAATTACCTTACACACCATAGGATAAATATGCATTACATGTTAACTTCATATTACAATTAGCAAGTCACATGATCATAACCACTAAAATATGAAAGTGTAATGATACCTGCAAAAACCTAGATGCTGAGTCTATATCTAAGCCTGTTTCCATGCACTGGTCAGGAAGAGAAGTTCCATTTGGTTTAGAAATGAGTACATCATGTGCTTCTGTTGATGATGACGCACTAGATGACCGAGAAGAAAAAGGCTCACCCGATCCTAACAGATATTCCGGGTTTAAAATATTATCTGCACATGCTGCAGCCAAAGCTTTGATATTGGGATGAGGCTCTTCATCAGAGTTAATCTGTGTTTCTAGATTCTGCAAGAACTCAGATTCTTGGCCAACTGCTGTTGCTGTTCGCCTACTTTTACCCCTACCTCCCTCTTCCGAAGAAGCACTTTTGATTTTATTGGACTTTGAAGATTTTTCCTCTGATGATCCATTAACAGAGTTTTCTTTTCCACTTTTAATAGGTAGTCTATCAGGGGATTTTTTTTCTTCGTTTTTTTCATATTCAGTTGCATCATCATCTATATCTAATTTATTTCCAGAAGCTGTGATATCTACCATACATCTCACACTTCCAGGAAACTTGGAAATTGTGGATACAAGTGGTTTTGCCCATCCTATATGCAGAACAGGAGTAGAAGATCCCTCTTCCCATTCACACAATCCATCATAAAAACGTAATAAATATGCAAAACATTCAGGATCTTGCAGTAAAGGAGTTTCTGCCTGACCTGATGGTTCACATCCACTAGAACTGACTACTTTGACTATATGTGGAATCAATTCATTTGCTATTTCCAAAAATTCTTTATATATCTCTTCATCATCTCGACTATAATTATACCTGTAATAATAAACTATTATTACACGAAAAATAAATAAGTACTTACAACATAATAAAAGATAATTTATCATGAAATACAAATATTAGATGTATAAAAATACTATTATACAAAACTGAATATAAGAAATTTTAAATATTTTTTTATATTCTGAGTCACAGCCTTGAATCTTAAATGTGCAGCTAAACAATTAAAAGATACATTAATAATTTACTTTTTATATCCTCAAGCTCTGCTTTCAAGAAAATGAACATTACAATAACCATTTTTTTTAACTAAAGAAACAGGACAATATTTAAATTTATAAATTATATATACAGTTACACCTAATATAAAGAGTAGATTGATATAAAAAAGGTATTTAATTTTTTGGAAAAGATAACGTGTAAGTATTTGGCATCCAAATATTGGCTTTTCAATACAGAAATTAATTTTAAAAAATGCAGCAACTTCAAACTTGACAATTTAGAGCAGGCATGTCCAACCTTCAATCCAGCTAAATAAAGTCTTAAATAATATATGACTTTCATGCAGCAGTTTAAAATTTTGTGACATTTTTTCTGATTTATGATTTTCTTACAAAATCCTAAACATTAGTACATAATTTTTGCAATTTTTTCACAATCAAACTTCGTGAACTGCAGAGATGACAACTGATTTGTGGATACTCTCCAATTTGTATCGCACAGTCAAATAAACATCAATCTTTTATACCAGGTGTTCTCAACCAGTGGTATGTGCGTACCACTAGTATTTTAGCAAAGTATTTTTAACTATTAAATTCAAAAATTAAAACCCCAACATCCTGATTGAGGTTTTTCTCTAACACTCGTAAATTTATGCGATCTAAGCTTTATTCAAGAGTGGTGGTACTAAAAGTATTAAATTTTTGTTTAGATGGTATGCGTTAGTCAAAAGCTTGAGAACCGCTGTTTTATACCAAATGTTTTTCAAATCATCTAACAGGTCAGCATCATTCAGCCACAGCCAGCTTGAAGCATAGGCATCCTAGGCCACCACCAAGAGCGATTTCTGGAGGCATTAACAGTACAAATAACCTACATAGGATACATAGCATCAACTTTACGAATCCCTTAGGCTGTAAAAAATGCTGTAGCTGTGTCTCCACTGAGCAAAATCTCTGTTATGCTAACTTGCTTCACATTGTACAGGTGTGAAAGTTATACTAACAGAAAAAAAAAAAAAGTAAATTCGTTTTCATTAGGATTGCCACATTTAAGACATGCCTAAAAAAGTCAGCCAATTATTTTGGTTAAATGATTTTAAACCAGTTAAAAAAAGCCAGTTCTTTCCTTTTATATTAAAGGGTTGTCTTAAAAGTGCTGTCTGGATTTCATCTATACTACTCATTACATCCTACATATATACTTATACATTATACATACTAAATGCTTCAATTATAAGATGACTCTTTTAATTTAATGATTAATACAAAGTCATAATTAAAAAATTATAAATATATTTAAGGAAAAATAATAACATATTTTCACCTAAAAACACTTAATTTTCCATGCACTTTCACCATTCATCTGCCTTGATTTTAAAAATTTATACACCTTAGCCCCTCTTTTTTTATCTCTCCATTTAGCAATTTCTCATTTTATTCTATATTCAACCACAGTTGAGAAAATTATTTTAATTCAAGCAGAAAAAGGAAGATACCTGTAACCTTATGATGAAATCACACAAGCCAGTAAGCAGAATTTTATTTTTTTATAAAGTTCCACAATATTTTGCTGGAAAATGTTCAACGATAAAAAAGAAATCCTGAATCAGTAAGTCTCTGTAACTTATCTTCAGTTTAAATACATTTATTACAATAGTGCTTCTCTTGGATATATTTTTCTGTTTTTTCTTCTTGTTTATTAGTTAATGTACTCCAAGATATAATAAATAACTAATAATTATATCTAAAAAATAAAACGGTTCTACATAATTTGTTAAACCATCTCTTTAGTATCTCTAAATATTTATTGTCGTCTTGCAGTCTAGACTTCTTGCAATGACTTTCAATTGACTAAGCAATTAAATAAATTTCGGCATTATTTAAAATTAATCTGAATTGTAACTCAAACTCCTGCAAAAGCTCCTGTCTTTTACTCAACATATTTATGAAATGTTTCAATAAATGTTCTGAGACACACTTCTTGTGAATTAATTCTGTTTCTTGGTGGAATTAGAAGCAATAATCTCTCTCTCTCTTTCTTGAACATTCTATTTATTTTTTAATGTATTTTGGCAGCTGGTGCAGCCACACCAGGTGGGATAATTTAAGGGAGCAAAATTTTTAGAATTTACAGAAGCATTGAGCAACAAAATTAAGGAATGGTAAAATCTTTAGAAATAAGGAAAGACACTAGAACACAAAATTTAGAGGTGGCAGAACTTCAGGGAAGTACTTGGCAGCAGAATTTAGGATGTGCAGCAACTGTACTGGGTCACAAAATATTTAGCATTGGCGCTAGATATTATTTATTCAGTTTTCAGATAAGCCTTAAGCATGAGTAGGAAGCAGGTATAAGTATAATAAATAACTAAACTATTATAATTCAGGCTTAACTTCGTCAGCATGCGATCGAAGCAAGATAAAATTTAGCGGAACATATCTTTAGTCACTAATTTCATGATTCACTGCCAATGGCACATAGTAGATGCTAGTTAAGTTTTATAGACACATGATAGCCATGAATTTGAACATTTTCAGATATTGCAAACAAAAACTTAAATTTTCCAAATAATGGAATGTGTGGAGAAATGGTAACAAATGAAGATGATATAACAAAAATTTTTGTGATGGCAATGGCCTAGTCATCAATAGGCTAATTAGATGGCAAAATCAAAGTATGTTCTAAATCTAGAAAACATCGCTATCGATAGTAGAAGAGGTGACAGAGAAATTGCTTAGAAGAATAAAATTTCAATTGACAATTTAGTGGAAGTTCTCAACATGGCAATTATAGGACTTGAACATACTCCTTATTTTTACATTTATTTCAATTACAAAGGATAATACCACAAGTATGATTCGTTGCACTAAAATTTCAATACTGTAAAGCAGCGTTTCTCAAACCTTTCTCTAATGGGGACCAATTTTAAAAATCAGAATATTCCACAGAGCACCTTATTCTTTCTAGTCCCTTTCAAAAGCATTTGCAATTATTTTAGCATATGTTACTGCCAATATACTTATATTCTTGAAATGCAATAAATGAAATTTATTTAATTTTATATTGACATTAATTAGTTAAGTTAATAGAAAAAAGTTATATTAATAAAATAATAATTTCAAGACTTTTAGAATTTGGATAAGCTTCATTTTATTAACTAAAAATTAAGTAAGTGTTGGTACTCACATTAAAGACATGAATGTATCTGCCAATTTTTGCACAGCTGTTCCACATCTGTATATGTGCTGGTAGGCTTAAATATGAGAACATCACATACATCAAGTCAATTTCTGTCCTTTGTTTTTATTTAGTGATAGAAACCCTTTTTACTTCCTTATACAAAGTAAAGGAGGTACAGTCAAAAGTCGTTAATTTGGACACCCATAATCCGTAATGATCTATAATCCGGACCTCAAAGCTAAAAACTTTATGCGCATGCGCCGCGTTGACACATGCGCATAAGACCTTTACGACAGCGCATATGCGTGTGCGCCAGCGCAGAATACGTTTTTGCGTGCACATTTAATGTATAACGGACGGTATAAGCTAAAATTATCTAATTATCTATTTCAGTTAATGTTGATGATTGCGTTGTTCCTTAATCTTCGAATTGGATGTGGCTTATTATTTTTTGCAGACTGTAAGAGCAATTTTATAAAAGTAAACTTGAACTTTCGATTATATCAAATAGAATTTCCGATGCTGGAGTTCCCAAAGGATATACAAAACGAAAGTATGTTTCGATGTCCGTCAAACAAAAAGTGGAATTGCTGCAAAAAATGGATAAAGACATGAAGAATGTGACAGAGAGGTTAGTGAAAACGAAAAAATTTCGATAGACAAGTTAGTCGGTATTCTCGGCACAGCAATTACGGGACTTGAACAGCGGAACTTTGTAACTAACAGAAATTATGTCTGTTTAATAGAATTAAAGAGAAAGTATTATCACATAAAACGAAGCAACTAAACAAAACTTACATTGAAAAGAAATATTTAATAAGTAAACAATAAATATTAAGCCTTTTTTTTGTAAATTTTGATACCCTTAGATCATAATTGTCCTTTATTTCATAATTAAACGGTTTCATATTTTAATTTTAGAATTTCTGCATGCCATCTTACGAGATTTAAACTGATGATCTATAATCCGGAAAAATCGATAATCCGGAATCGCCGAAATCCCGACGAGTCCGGATTAACGACTTTTGACTGTATTGTAATACTGAAAAACTGCGGGTACCATATTCCGATGAAAATATCCACTTTTAACGCTATCAAATGCAATTTAACAATGTTTTCGTCTGACATCATGTAAGGATAGAATAAAGGGCTCTTTCCCAAAACGAATTATAAAACTGATTTAAAATGGATTCATAAGATATTTTTTTCATGGCATACGTACATACATATCTTGCATCACTCAAGAAGGAATGTCCTCACAGTGTTAAAATTTTGTATGTGGAACTGCTATAACACGTAGGTGTGTACCTCCCTTTTTGGTTGCAATTGGCCACACCAAAAGTATATATACATATCCATTTTGTTTTTCGGATCGGTGAGCTCAGTTTTTTTTATTCTTATACGTTGGTAAATTGTGCATTTTTTGCTTTAAAAATGGTTGAATTATGTTGTTCTTATCTTCCAATTAAAGTTTTTATGCCTTTAGTTAACCTACATGGTATAGTTGTAGAATTATCAACAATTTAAAAGTTGTTTCAATACAGCTAAGCACTTAAACAACAACTACAGTCAAAAGTCGTTAATCCGGACTCGTCGGGACTTCGGCGATTCCAGATTATCAATTTTTCCGGATT